GCCAACATGTAGCCAATACCATAAGTGATGTTAATGGCTTCGCCGGTTGGGAAGCTGGTGTTGGTCCTCGCGTAGGGTGTATAATCACTGAAAGAAGCACCGTCACCTGTTCAGCAATTCCATCACATCCAGGAGCGCAGCGAACACACCCGACCCATGTGTTGGAGCTCCCAGTATCGAGGACGAGATTGTACGTCGTCGGAGGGTTGCCAATGTCGACTGTGACGAGATAGCCATTGTAATCGTACTGTGTGATAGGGACCGTGGACGCTCCGCCGCTCAGGAACGCCGCGCGCGCACGATCTGCGGCGGCAGCCTTGTTCAAGGATGTCCCCGTAGTATGTGTGAGGTTCACGGTCGTGACAGCATTCGTGCTGGAAAGGGACGCCGCGGCGAGGACAATGGAGAATGCGAGACAGCGGCGCATCGGAACAACCTTTGTCCGAAGAAATGAGTGAGTTCAGAGATAGAGGCTGAGGCTGAGGGTGCCAAGATGCACTGGCACAAGATGGAGAGACTGTACAGTCCCGGAGTGGCTTTTATATTTCTGTTCAAGAAAGGACACACCATTCCACCCCAAACACAACATCGAATATGATGAGCATGATGTGCCATCAATGCACTCCGGCACCAGCATATGTATGAGACTCCCGCCGACGCTGTGTTAAGTGTTCGACTGGTTGCCGAGTTGTCTTGAAAACCGACAGAACTATCGGAATGCAGCAGGCAAAATTGGGCAATTCGTGTCTACACGCCCAAATTAGAGGAACAAGGCGCGGCAGCCCGTTAATTGCAGCTTCGCATCACGAAGGCAAGACCCTGACCTTTTCCGAGTCTCTCCAGCAGCCGGGTAATATCACTGATATGTTGGACACGAAGGCTATGCACAGGAGAATTCGAAGGACCGATTCACTTTGCACTGTCACTTTGCGATGAAGTGCGCATGTAGCCACTGCATGTTCGACATGTAGTTATGAATCCTGGGATGGCCTCGAGTAGATGACAGAAGACGGTGGGTGGTCTCCAGGTGAGTCTACTAGTCAGGTGAACTATAGCGAGATTATACGGTCACTCTGAGGAATGTCGTAACCGCAGTGGCACTGCCACATTTGAATTAACTCGTGGACATTGGCTATAAAGCGAGCAATTTATAAGTATCAGTGCTCGCCGCCGAAGAATGAGAAACTCGGAACCTAGTATTGTCCTGCAGCAATACGCTGAGGTCGTGCTCTCACATCACATGGGAGACGCCGCGAGAGGCATGAGGCTTGGAACACCCTCTGGCGGCTCGAGGCAGCGATCGTTTTCGTTTGAGCGTGTGCACCCGCTTTCAGCCATCGTCGATGGCCGCTGCTCACGCGCTCAATTGCACAAGGTGCTCACCTTTGATGAGCAGCCTCAGCTTGTTGCCTCAAATAATTTTTTGCACAACTAGAGAGGTGGCGCGCTGAGTTGGAGAATGATTTCGTTGTCCCAGCATGGTGTAAGTGAATTGATGAAAACTACTCCGGCTGGAAAGCCACATCTATAGGTGCCAACAACGGCACCGC